GTTTTAAATCTAGTATTTATCTAGATTGAAGATGTGTTTGGTCAGGTCTTAATATTAATAGCAGACGTCATCACCTTGAGAGGGCTAGGGAGGAAGGAAAGAGGAAGAGTGCAACCTATTCTATCCCAGGTATGGGCTTCCCCTGGGCTAGCTTGGTATTTTTAGCCGTCCAGCTTGCACATGCTTTCAAAATGACTAATTATCAGGTGGTGACCCTCACAGACGGTACTTGTTACTTGATACCTTCCTTCACCCCTCCTCCTCTATCCATGTATCCTTGTCTCGCCTCCTTCAGTTTTCAGTGACAGGTTCAGCTGGTTGAGAGAATATTGTGGGTCAACGTCTCACCTCCTACTTTTACGTCTTCATTCTTATCATTTCACATTTATTTTTTTGAGATTCATTTGCTCTCCCTCTGACCATTTCACTGTATCTTCTTGTCTTTTATTTATGTATCGCTCTATTCTCTGAAGTGTCTATTCTTTATTTAACATAACACTCTCCTTACCTATGTCTCTTCCTCTCCCGGTTGCTTTAGTATTTTCTGATGGTCTGTGTTTTGATCTGTTGACATTTGCATCAAAATCTAATGCTTATCACTAACAAACTCTACTTTTTGTCTTTCCACTCACCTTCAGTCTCTTTTTGCCATTCCATGTCTCCTCGAGTCAAAGACTGGAGACAAAAGGATTGTTACCATCCTTCTATACAGTTTTAAATACTGTAATTAAATCACTGAATATAGAACATAGTGATTTTTACGGCTCTGTTTCAGCTTTTTCTCCACTTCACACATGCAAATGCTGACCTTTTTGAAAGTAACTTGCTTAATGTTTGCATTTTCATATCTGCTGTGCAGTGAATAAACCATGTAGCAAGGCGCACGTGTGTATTCCCTGAACTGTGTTTTGTGCAACAACGGTGGTTCAGTATGAAAGTTTAATAAGCCTTTGGTGCAATGAGAGGAGATGAGCTTTGGATCGTAACCTAACCTTTGCTATGCCTCCCCCACACTCTGCTGCCCATTAAACACATATACACACATGCACACCTCTCCCTAACTAAATATTCATGTTGTTGTTGAGTAAAGGTACATACTCAAGCAGATCCCAGTTTCCCCTATCAACATACACGGACACATACCTGTAACATGGACTAAAAAAACAAAAAGGATAGAGGGCATACAGTGTTGTTTTAGCACATCCACACCTCCAGCGTGTGTGTGTGTGTGTGTGTGTGTGTGTGTGTGTGTGCGCTGCAGCTTTTCAGGGTGATGACTTGTCAGGGTGTAAAGCGGGGGTGAAGAGGTCCACACACATCTATTATCTATTTCTCTATCAGCGGTATATTGGCCCTTCTCATGTGATCCAGAGGGGGATCAGGCCATGCTCTGATTGGCTGGTCATCACAGGAGCAGGGATGGAAGTGCAAGGAAGCTTGACCCCGTGTACTTTACTGTAGCCTGTCTTCAGTCCTGAGAGGATGTAACAGAGCAGCAAGAAAAGACATAGTTAATGACTCTGAAATAGAGAAATGTACAACATACAACTTGCCACATATTTGGCAGTGAATCACATGATTGTCCTTAAGCTCCCATTGTCTGACATTACATGTCTCAGAAATGATGGCTAGACTGTGCCGACGTCCATCCAATACTGGAAGCTGGGAGGTTTGAGAAAGAATGATTGAAGGCTTTATGGGTTGTGGAAAAACAACCAACCCAATCCAAAATGCATGTACTCACCAACTGCCTCTCTTTTGCACAAATAGCCAAATATGCACAAATAATATGTCAGTGTCCTGAGGAACCTGAGGAACTTGCAGCTCTAGTTTTGGCTTGTGTGGCCTCTTGTGCTAGGAGAGGCTGTCCAACATTTTACATGAGCTGGTTTAGTTTGGATTTTGTCATTCTGACCAACTAAAACAATTAGCAACCATTTCTCTTAACGCGCAATGATTTAATGTTTATATGAAATATAGCTTAAAGGAGCTTTATTGCTGCTGCTGCTTTGGGTTTGGACCTCTTCCAGTTTTGAGCCAGTGTGAGAATGTGTTCTCCACTGCAGTGTTTTAAAGCAAGCCCGGTTGTCAGGAGAACGTTTCCTACATTTGAAACACCTACAGCAGCTCAAACGATTGCCAAATATGAAGCTGCCCAAAGCTGGCATAACGCCCCTTTTTACCTTGCTCTGCCTCTCTCTTTCTCTCACTCCCTTACCATCTTCATCCCCTTTGCTTCTCTGGCCTTTCAGTGTCTGTTTTATCTCATCTGTTTCATCTGTTTTTCTCACCTCACGTTCTCTCTGTATCTCCTTCTTGCTGCCTTTCTCTCTCTACATCCCCACGTTTCAGTGCATATCCCTTTCTTCTCGCTCATTGTCTTGCATGCAAACACAGTAAAACACACTCGCATGTTCTTTCCATCTCCTCCCAGGCAGACTGGGTGGTCCCCTTGGGGAGAGGGAAAGATTAAAGAAGTTCATATGCTCGGACTTCAGTGGAGAGAAATAATAGCTGACATCCAAAACATGTGTTGCTGTGCGAGTGTCTTATCTCCCTGTGCTTTCATGTGTTTTTATTTATCATCTTTATATTTCCTGTATAGACTATGCAATCTGTCTTTGATGCATTCGCTGGCATCCGTCTCTTGGAAACTGTCCCGTGTGCAGAATGCATATTTATACTACAGTGTGCACATGTGTTTCTCTGGACATGTTTGGTATATGCGATAAAGGAATCTGCTCCATTTTTCCTTGTTTGTATGTGGGCGTTCTGGGGGATTGAGGTAGGGGAGAGAAAGTCTGACTGAGATTGAACGGGGAGGAGGTTTGTAAAGAGGTAGAGGGAAGGAATAATGAGAGGGAGAGAGAGAGGGGGGGGGGGAAGGAGGGGGTGGAGGGGAGGATTGCGAGAGAGGGTGAGGCGGCAGAGGAATGTGTGAAAAGACCAAGGCAGACATGTCGGGGAACAAATTGAAAATGCCAATTTCACTTTAGCCCCCACCAGCTCAGGCGCTTACAGGCCAGCCGCGGCCTCTTATTCCATGTGTAAATGAATGGTGTCCACAGAATAACACACAATCACCTCTCTCTATCCAGCTCGCCCTCACTATTTCTACCTCACCCTTGCTGCTGTATCATCCTCTCTCCACCTCTTTTCCCTTTCCACTTCCATCATCCTTTTTCCACCATCTTTTCTTATTTTTGTTTTGCTCCCTGCACTCTTCTCCCAGCACACTCCACCTCTGTCTTTCCATCCCATCAGCCGGTCTTTTAACCATCACTTGATGCTTTATGGCATGCCGTGTGTTGTTTGTCCTAAGATACCAGGTCCACTGGCCTTAAAGGAGAAGGTACCTCTCTCTCAAAATAATCATGACGGACTGTAACTGGTGATCGTTTTAATTTTTGATTAATATGCTGTGTATATATTAGTTGTTACATGAAAGATGACTAGCTCTCTCTCTAACTTTCTGAAAAAAAAACGTGTTTGTCGTTGTGCAGGCCAGCTCCCAGGTGGAGTTACTCAGGGGTAAAAGTTTCCTCTTTAATAGTTCGTGGCTACTAAATAAATAATGGCACCAAAATGTGCCTGAAAACCTTTTTTTTTTTAAGAATTTCCCCTTAAAACAAACTCCGAGAGCAAAGTAGTAGTTCTTCTGCGATACATGGAGACATCTTCCTTCATTTGGATATCAGCATCTCGGCCTTCAGCGCCTGCTGAATGTAAACCATCCAATCGCAAAGAAGTGAAGAATGAATTAATCAGCCATTCACACATTGTGACATTGCCGTGTCCTCTCATTTTCTCTCATTATCTTCTCTATGCACATTTCTTGGCCCTTTCCCCCCTCAAATACATTCCAATTCACTATTATTACAGATGTCAAGATAAATATCACAGTATCACATTGGAGTGGTATCACATAGTGGCGAAGTTGTAGCTAGATTCAATCTGTGAGGGCCCCATAGCCTCAGGCTCAGGGCTTTCACATTGGATTTTATCACCACTCCACCAGAAGAGAATAGTCCTGCTATCTCTCAGCCTCGGGTCATTGAAGATAGTGACCATACCAGTGGTAGTGAGGCTGACTGGGCACCCTTTGACTGACAGAGGCATTAGGTTAACATAGGCTATCTCAAGTCTTACCAGCTAACACTCTCTCGCTATCTAGCAGCTGTTCATGTTGTATCGAAAAGACAACTAATGAATGGAGCAGTTACTAATGCATAATGTCTCTCCGACTGGGGGATGTGGGGCTCTCTAGATGATGAATGAGTACCGAGATGATTGGCTGTTTACCTCAGTGTTTGGCTGATTTGTGTGTGTGAGAGAGAGGATTGGGGAGGCGATGCAACTTCTAAAGCTGCATTTTATTTGGCAGTGATGATCGTTGTTGATAATTTATTTGTTCGGATGTTGGGAATGGTCTCACAAGAGCCCTCTTTCTTTCATTCCGTCGGTTAACACACCGCCATCACATCGCCGCTTGTGAAGCTTGTTGTCTCATTTAAAGCGATTCCATTAAAGTGATTATGCCGACGACGAGTCAATTACGTTTCAACTCTTATTAGTTCAGGATGCAAAAAATGAAATTAGATGAGAATATTATTGTTGGAGATATATTAGGCTTTTCATTCATCACTGGAATGGAATGAGTCACACAGTGATGGGGATTCCAATCTCTTAATCAACTCTGTGCTCTGCCAGGCAGCGGCGGATGTGCTGCGTGTTAAAATCACAATATAGCCCGTCTCTCATCTTTCATCTTTATGGCCCTTCAACTGTGTGAGCACCGCAGGGTATGACATTACTACCAGCCACTAGCTGAACCGAGCTCGCTCTTGGTATTGGCACATTTCTCTCTCGCTCACTAATTTAATATTTTATTAAAAGACTGAGAATGTCTTACAATGATGTTATTGGTGTAGGAGAATTATTGGTTGAGGTACGGATATGTGACTCACTGTGAATGCTAATATTGACGTTTTGTATTTCAGTATGCCTATGAGGGCAATGACATCAGCGACCTGCCAGTGGATTTGTCTGTGGTTTGGAACGGAAACTTTGTCATCGACAACCCCTTCATTATCCAAGGTGAGTTAATGTGGTGTCGAACATTATCGACCCTCATTGTCTCAATCAGCATGAGCAAATTAAAGGGGAGGAGAAGAGTATTCTTGAATCCTGTCATGTGTCTTAACCTTTAAACATCAGACATTATAGTCAAATCAATCCCATTTCAAAAGCTGTGTTGATTTGTCAGATTGTTTTATCTTCAGCTGAGTCACGGCTGATACAGCATCTCAAAAAAGTTGGATCCAGGAAAAAAAACAAAAACAGCTACAACCCCATAGTAAATAATTTATATTTTGACCAAATTGATATTCTTTGTCTGTAAAGGGCTCCAACACTGTGTCAGTGTACTTGTGTGCGGGAGACTGCATTAGTGCCCTATTCAGCAGACTGACTGATGAACCAGTGTCAAAATTATAAATGTATACACAGACATTCTCTCTGCAGTGTAGCATTCAATTTGAATCTGTTGAACAGTTGGGGATCGACAGTATTTGCATTATGCAAAGTAATGAGGCCAATAGGTGCAGTGTTGAGATCAGACCAGAGGTTCTCGGTTAAGAAAGCAGCTCAAGGTATTGTTACTTTCCCCAAAATAAAACATTATAATGGATTTTCTGTCACTGATAATCACCAACTGTGGAATATTGTTTCTGAGCTTGAAGGTTCATTCTTGACATTGGAAACAGTATTTTAACAAAACAAGATGAAGTAAGATCAAAGTCGACTGATGAAGCCTATTCCTAACATTTATTTTGCGTTGCGCTTCGTTTTTCAGCTCCACGATGCATACGGTCATGTTGTAAAATATCTTGAGAGAGGGATGTATTATTACAACCCTTTTGTGCAATTTTAGGTTGACGGGTATAATTATTAATAATGTATGCACTACTGTATCTATACCCACTTTTAGACAGTACATTATTACTATATGTACACTAATGTAGAACCCCACCTCGGCCTCCAAACAAAGGACCAAGAGGATAGTGATTAATCACATACACATGCTCAATGCACCGCTGGGGGAGAAGACAATGAGATAATGTCTGTTGGATATAATTACTAGCAGGACAGTCTTATTAGTGCTGTCTCCATACTTATTGTGGCTTGTACAGCACAGCAGGGGTCTGTAACATTATTCTCTTGCTGTGAGGTGAAGTAACATCATCCGCAGCCACCACTGCGTTTGATGCAGCTTTCGATACGGTTTTGTACAACAGAGGGAGCTGCTGTGTTTGGTGCCGTTAGTTGCTCTTTGATGGTTTAAAGACGCGAGGAGATTGCGTGCAGTATTTCAGAATAGAAGATGTTACATCGTCTCTGAAGCAGTGATCATTTCTATTTTGTCAGTACTGTAAGGTAACACCTCAGAGTCACTTTGTTCCATTTATATACGTCATTCCCTGTAGTCCAAATTTACCAATCAAGATATTGAAGTCTCAAATTTCACATATTCGTCAGGCTGCTGGCTCTGACTGATATGTTATATGGATGCGTTTGTAACCTTTACCAGACGTATTTTTTATGAACATAGGGACCCCACTGTAATCCACAGTAATGGGGTGTATATATTCATAGAGCCAACATAGAAATGCTTTGACCGTCAATGGTTCATCCAGACACAAAGTGTTTTTTTAATGGGCATCTGTTAGATGCAGCAGGGTCTATGCATTGTGTGTTACCTCAAGTGTAAATCTCCTGAAGTGCAACCGGAGGTGACCTGCAGCCCAAAGATGTCTCCCTCTCTCGGTCTCTCTCTCTCTTCACTGCCTGCCCCCCTCCCTATTTCACAATCACGATAATCATCAGGTGGAGCGTGAGCGATGCTCGCTTGTCTTAAATACTGATATGTTAATGTAATTAGAGAGGAGACGTTTAGCAGCCAGTAATTGTTACAGGGTTGCTTTAAAGCTGCTCCATGACCAATGGGATTTGGGGATGGAATAGCAGAGAGAGAAAAAAAAGATTTGGCTGCACAATTCCTAAGGCCTTTGGGAAATAGTGCCTTAACTCAACTTAGTGTCAGTGACATTGAATAAGTTTTGGAATTTTTGTGTGAAAGTTGAGAAACTTTATATTTGTATTGGGTTGATTTTCCAGCTCTTCTACCTCTCGGGTTGTGTGTTTACCTAGTCAGCTTGTACTGCAATATTCAATACAAACTATATTGATGGTAAGGTAACTTCATTTTCTCCCTATCCTCATTCCACCCAATAATAATTTCTTCTTACTTAAATGTCTTACTTCTTTCCTTACCAGCCCACCTGTATAAGTGCTATGCCCTGAGGGACAGCTGTGGGATGTGTCTGAAGGCAAACCCCAGGTTTGAGTGCGGCTGGTGCGTACAGGAGAAGAAGTGCTCCATGAGGCAGGAGTGTACTCCTCCAGAAAGCACTTGGATGCACGCCACCACAGGAAACAGCCGCTGTGCACACCCCAAGATCATCAAGGTAAGGCGTGATAGTAACGACACATGCTCAACCACATAACACCATATAGCGGCTCAGTATCCTCCTGAAGCCCGGCAATGTAACACATTCCTACCGGCACATATGTACCCGCAAGTACAAACTCACCCCTTTGAATTGGATTGAAGGTGCTCGACATGCAGCAACACACACCCTAATGCAGTCAGTGTGCAACAACAAAAATGTAACTTTCCAAAGCTATATTACCATTTTTATTCAGGATTTACTTCTAAGTTTGAAAATAAATTAGCAGAAATGTGTTTGTATATATATATATATTTATTTCTAGGTCACTACATGAATAGAAATATAACCTCTTGAAGTTAATCCTGTTTTGTGTCAAAGATTTTAACTGACACCGTCGCCACACACATTAACACCCCAAGGTCTGTGAGGCCAGGCAACAGCCCACTCTAAAATAAACACTGCATGGGAGCTGCTAAATCCAAGTTCAGGAAAAAGTCTTACCACTGCTAAAGTTAAAGCAGACACTTTAGCTGCTATTCGGTGTGCGTTGCCCAGCAACTCGACCTCCGAAAACATCAAACAAGGCAGGGGTCAGCAGGGAGGGGGGTTCAAGTGACAGTATGCCTTTTGTAACAGGGGTTGTGATTATTTCTTGTTCAGCAAACTTTGAAACTGAAGACTTGCCTTTTAGACACTAATCAAAAGCATTGCCAAAGTCAGCTCATTAGTAAGTTTTCCAACCGAAGAGATTAGAAATCCCTACTTGTGCTGCGTCATTGTTTTGGCCTCAGCGAGTGAACGGGACATCGTAGGAGGAGAGGCGGCAGGGAGGATAGACAACTTAGAAGCCATCGCCGTGACTGATACCACAACACAGATGGGCCGGCCAGGAGGAGGCAGTTCACAAACACCAAGCCTGAACACACTGACATGATTAGAGATGATGGCTACACACACTGACACACACACCTGAGGAGGCAGAGCGGGTGGTTGTCTGTAGAGTGTGTGCGTGCAGGAGGGTGACAAAGAAACAGAGAATGTGCAATTGTGCTAATTGTGTTCCACCATGGGCGCCGAATGTGTGTGCGCGCATGTGTGCATCTGACAGGCTGGGTGAGCCAAGGCGTCTAAACACCATGGCGTTCCCATCTGTTGCCACCGGGTAACCGTGGTGGTGGTCCTCGTCTGACTGTGACCTGGGTCACCGTCCCTACAGCTCACCACTGGGACTGACACACACGTGCACGATCTCACGAATACACACACGCAGCCCGGTTTTTATAAGCCACGCGCCGCTGTGTGAGACGTGTTTGGACGTTCAACCCTTTCGCTCGCCCTCGTTTGTCCTTCTGCCTTCTTCCGTTCTTTTCCTTCTCTCCGTCATTCCTCCTCAAGCTTTTAACACTTCTTCTTTTTTTTCTACTTTAAATTTAATTTAATCTAAAGTAAGAAGAATCATCATCTCAGTCAAAACGAGTGCCATTTCTCTCCATTTAAATGAGTGTGAAATATATGTATGGCTTATAATGCATGCCCATTTCACCGATGCAGACTTGTATGGCTGGAGCCCTCAGTACATTTCCTGTGTGACACGGGTCCGTCTCTCTGAATGCGTAATGGCGATATTGGATAATTGGGGCACTGGCACATAGATAAATCCATTCGCTAATGCTCTCTCTCTCTCTTCTTGCTCGCCTCAGTTATCTCTTTGAAACAAGCGCACAGAGGCAATTGGGTTGTGTGTGCGTGTATGTATGAAAGAGATGAAGGGGGTGTATGAGGTGGTGAGGATGTGTGTGTGTGTGTGTGTGTGTGTGTGTGTGTGTGTGTGTGTGCGTGCAAGCAAGCATGTGCCTCTCACATGCATATTGAGGGGTAAATCCTGGCCCTGGGGCAAGATGTTGGTGGCAGTCAAAAAGCAGGCGTAGAAGAGCTTCAAAAGCAGCAGGAGGAGAAATGTACTGCAGGTTTGAGAACATGGAGGAGACAAAGAAGAATAGAAAAAGAGAGGCACTGGAGGAGGCGTTATCACCCAGCCGCGCTGCCAGCTTCACCTCTTCTCTCCACCTTTTGACATTTACAGTGTGACATTAATGCCAAAAGATCATCTGCAGGTGTCAAAGAAAATCTTTCCCTTTTCTTCTGCCATTTCACAGTTCTCCCAGAGAGCATCACAAATTGAATATTACTTTACTTCTTTCCATCAGTTCATTCAAATCCCTCATTCCCTGTTTGAGGCCTTTTTTTCAACAACAAAAAAACGTCTTTTTTGGTTTATTCAGGCTGTTTGGTTCATTTTTGCAGCACAACAACTGTTGTGTGGCCATCAGCTAGTGGATTAGCCGCTGATTTCTTTTGGGCCGGAGAGAGTGTGTGTTTGAACGGCCGCCACTATGTGATTGAACACGCAACATGCAGACACATATTATACACATACACACATCTATCCAGAGCTTTCAAAGCAGCAAGCGTTGAACCCGTTTGGTGTCATTTGCAAGTGTGCTATTGCCCATATGACGTTGTTCAATAGTGTGCAGTTGGGTACCGTTCCACTAATGACTCTGGCACCTAAGCGCTGTTTTCCAAACACGGCAATTGATGTTTTAGGCTCTAAATGATTGGTTTTAGACCAAGAATTTAGCTGTGAGGCTGTTGAAGTGCTATTTTTATTGTGCTGCATTTTTTTCTCTCTACACTGACATTGTGCACTAAGATTAATTAGTTCTCCTTTCACAACAAGCAGACACACAGTTTGTGTGTTTGTGAAAGCATACACAAACACACCCGCAAAAGCAAAAAACACTCCGGTTCCCACAGGCAAACATACACACTCTCTGAAAGATTCCGATATGAAATGTTTAAAATCAGAGATAAACATGAAGCTACAATGTGTGGCTTGTATGGTATCCTCAAAATCATATTCACAGCCACAGAGACAGTGACACAAACACACACATACACACACACAATGTCTGGCGCTGTCTCCCAGTGTAGTGCATCAGTGTCCTAGTAGTGGCCTTGGATGCTGCCTGGCCCTCCATCATCCATCATCTCCTGCCTGCCTTCTCCTAGGGGACAGGAAGAGCATTACATCTAGCCCTTAGAAACCAATTAAAACAACCCAGCCGATGCCTGTGTGTGTGTGTGTGTGTGTGTGTGTGTGTGTGCTTTTCGGTGTTTAAGCATGTGGCACACTTCTGTGCTCTGTTCTTTGCTTCTTTGTGATCTTTTGTGTATGAAAAAAGTGTTTTTGTGTGTGCCCTAAAATCTGTCTGATATTGCATGGAATCGTGTCGGTGTGCGAGTCTTTGTCTCGTTTCACAGCTTAGGTACTTGCAAAAGGCCAATGATTTCTCCTTCATGTATTGTTAAGCTGCAATATTGGCCTTTGCCAGACTTCTTTATCTCTCTGTACCGCTTGGTTTTCTTGTCACTTTCTTTTCTTCCTTGTAACCCCTGTCCCTCATTCCCATGTTCAACTGTTTTACATTTCCTTACCTTTATCAACCCTCGCTCCTTTTCACTTTCCCTACGCATACATTTTTCCTCCCACACTGTCCTTCTTCTCCTTCCCTTTTCATCGTCCTTCATCTATCCTGTCCTTCTATCATCTTCCCCTCTTCTTTCCTCCTCCTGTCAGCCAGTGTCAAGAGAGATGTCTTTCTCTTTAGAGCTCTGTATTGACCAGGCCTCTGTGATTTGTCGCCTGTGTTTTAGAGCAAAACAATAGGTCTCACAGAAATAATGAAACAATCCGCTAATATGATGTCTAAATTTAGCTTTTTATCTAAACATGTCTGCTACAGGAATATAATTGGCTCCGGTTTGATTCTGACTTCGGTCACAGTTTTGTTCTGCATGTTTGTGCGGATTTACATCTTCAATCATATAATTATTGACTTGTACACATGTAAACATTTAGTGGCAGGGACTATATTATCCTTGTCATTACTCATTTCATTACCTCCATCGATTTGTTTGTGACTTTTTGTTTTTCCGAGTCTCTCACATCTCAGATAGACATCAGAAACCTCAGGCCATGTTCATATCATCTCTCTCTCTCTGTGTCCCCTGCTTCCCCCTTCCTTCCTCCTCCTCCTCTTCCTATAACTAGCAGATGCTATCTGTGCACTGCCGCTCAGCCGGCCACAATAGGCCTCACACAAAGCCTCCGACACAACGGGACAAGTCGGAGACGAAGAGGAAAAAAGGGAATTTGAATGAGTGTGGAGCGCCGCAACTGCGAGAAGATAATGGAGCGAGTGTTTAGGCTGGTGGCTTTTATCAAAAAGGGCTTTTTGTTTGTGTTGGTTAGTTGGTGATGTAACAAGTTGTGTGTGCGTGTGTTTTGATAAGCCAGTGCTTATAGAGACAGAGATTCGATTAACATATCTGAAGATTCTGACTGGTGCACAACTGTGTGCCACACTCACTCCTTTTTTCTCCAGCTAAAACATAAGCAGTCAGGCACATTGTCAAAGAGACAGCGAGTGAATTAAGAAGACAGAAGTCCGGAGAGGAAGAGGAAGAGGGAAAGGGCAAGGGAAGAAGGAGGGATGTTCATCAGAAGCCTTGCTGCTCTAAGATGGGAAACACTCCTTAATTGTATCACTGTGGCATTTCAGTTCTGGCCTGCATGACACTGGGCTTTGTTCCCATTGTGTGTTTCTGTTAGTGGTGTCCTGAACACCTGTGGCTTTTACTAGCCCGCCACCTTTTCTATAATGATGTTAGACTGGGGATCATTGTCGGGTACCAGGCGGGGAAATAGAGTTGTGGAGAGCAGGTTGCGAGTGTGGATCTAATTTATATGTGAGACAGTAGATGCACTTAAAGAAATAGTTTGGAAAGTCACTTATTCTCTTTCTTGGAGAGAGGTAGATAAGAAGATTGATATCTTATTATCTTATGTTTGAACAGTAAATATTTGATGAAGTTACACATGCTAGAAGGCCAAGTTAACTGTCTGCTTGCGGTAGCTTCATGTTTACTGTACATACGTGAGAGTGGTATTGTAACTCACAGCAAGAGAGCGAATTGCCATAAGTTTTGTCACCAGTTCATTCTTCATCCCTGTTTTAACCTGTTCCGCATTTGTGTTCTCATCTCTTTTTTACTTTGAAACAGACAAATGTATTTCTCCTTAAAGCACAGTTACACCATTATTTACAACCAACATCATTTCACTTGCACTGATGCTGCCAGTGGGTTTGCCAATAGAGGTCCAGTCAATTTACAGGGTGCTTTGGTGTAAAGTTCGACTTTGGCCAAGTGTGACAAATTAACCAACTAGTCCCGATGTCACCAAGCTGGCAGCGCAACCAATTTTGCAACAGCACACAAATGGATTTTTCTTTTCGACTCTCTGGTGTGACCGGAACTGTTGCTAGCGTTAGCACTGGCCAACAAAAATACAAAACAAACCTATATATATTTTAAAATATGCATGTGGTTTCTGCCACTTAGCCCCCCTTTCTGTTCTTGTGTGCTATCTATTCTACACAAAACAGATAATATGTGGATATAGTCATATTATTTGGGGCTTCATACTTACAGGGGAAATATCAGGCTGATGGGAACTTAATCAGGGATCATCCATTGTAGCTTTCCTTTACGGCAAGGCAGGTCAAAGGGTGACCTTACCCACACCCCCACTCCACGACACCCAACCATCAGCTTCTCATCCCCTTCACCCTCCTCCCACCCTGCTGCGACAAAAGACCCCACCCCACCAGGTTCTAATCCAATTAGCTGTAGCCCTAATTATGCTGGTAATGACTGATTACCAGAGGGGCCATTGTCGTGGGCTGGATGAATGGGCCGTGATTAGCGACTACGCTAGCCTCGGGTAGCCATTAGCACCACCGCACACCTTTTGCAGACCTCTAGGGGGAAGTCAGGGAGCAGAGGTCGCTGTGTGCGGTAATTGTGTTCAGTAGATTAAACCTCACAAGGTTAAATGAGAGATGTAAGTGAGGGCTTGATGGGTGGGTCCAGGTTAAGTGTGTGAGTTGGCGGGTTGTGAATGTTTGACTGAGTTGAGGTGGACATAATGGATCCAAGGTCATTTTTCATCTAACTTAATGAGGTAGCAACTTAAGTATTAGATTTATTAAGAATGAGAGATGACCATGATGACTTAAGTGAACTGTCATTCATGCTGACATACAATATATTGTCTATGATGTACTGCTTTGGGTTAAATCAATTGTCCCATATGTTGTTCCGGCTAACATATGTCCTCTCTAATTTGTTCTTCCGACCAGTTGACGCCGGAGACGGGGCCCAGGCAGGGAGGGACCATGCTGACCATCACGGGCGAGAACCTGGGTCTGCAGTTCAAAGACATCCAGAGCGGAGTCCGCATCGGCAAGGTGGCCTGCAACCCTCAGGAGGACCAGTACATCAGTGCTGAGCAGTACGTTGACACTATCTTTGTCTTCACTTCCACCCCTCAATCTCAGGCTCATTGTTTCTGAGACTCTCCACTCCCATGGACGTCTTTGTCCAATATTGATGTGACACTGAGTGCTAAGCACAACACTGCAACTCTCTCTCAGACCTCTGTGTCAGTAAAAACTCCACTGGTTATACACCTCGTTCCTCTTTCAAACAAAACCAATTATTTGCGAGCAGCCTCCTGCTGTGCTTGGTAATGCTTTTCTTGTGCATGTAAATCTCACAGCAGCTGAGTTAACGTGGAACCTTTCGTATCACTAATACTCAGAATAATGGCTCAATCAGAATCGAATTACCTCATGTAACCAACAATTAATTTGGCCCATTCTGAGAGAAATTTAATGACATTTGAAGTGGGTGGTACATGTCTTCTAAAAACTCCACAGATGAAAGCTTGTCATGTGAACGCTCCCACTGATTAAATTATGTTTACTGCTTTCTGGGAAAATCTGAATCACGCCAGGTGCCGCAGATTCTGAGAAACGTAGTAAACATTCATAGCTCCTTGTTGAGTATGACTGAACTCTTTGTTTTAACCTAAAACCGGTTGCCTCATCGCAATATTTTTCTTCAGTAATATCATGGGAATCATAAATTTAATTTCATTATAAACGTAAAAAACACTGTAAACCACCGCCAGTGTGACGCTGGCACTGCACTTTTATAGCTACCCAGAAAGATCTGGGCCTTCTGTGAAACTACATGATGAGTCACACTCTCTAATTTATGTTGAATTCATCCAGAAGCAGAGAAAATACAATTTAGGACGAGGCAACATCGGGGGAAGCTCATCACAGCCGGAGCTGTCCTGAATATTCCATTACCAACTATGTAGCTGTCATTTGTACACAAATGCTCCATTTGCGGAGTTTTGCAGCACAGTCCCAGCAGATTTATTTTTCTCTCTGCCCCCTCGCTAAGAAGGGAACTAAGAAATGTGACTTTGATTATTTGACGGCCACGACAACAGAGGGATCTGCAGCACTCACCAGCACATGGTAGTGACATGTCAGCCTTTATATTGTATTCACACAGAACAGACCATTTTCACCCTCGCCTGTGTAGCTGTGGATTAACATTTGGGGACTCTGTGTTAACTTTTTCACATCCAAATCACCAAGGTGTCTACGTTTAACCCCGTCAACCTCACAACGCAGCGTTGGCCTGTTGCCATAGCACCCGCAGGAGGAGGAGCAGGGCGCGGCCTGCAGTGAGGCTGTCATGCTAATTAAACGTGATGTTAGCCATACGGTGCCATTAGTGGCCCGGTTTCTCTTGTCATTCCCGTGACCCTATTGGATCTGCAGCACGGGAGATAGGCCAGGGTAACGGGACTGACAGCACGGGTCAGAGGTCAGCTGGTGGGGAGAGAGAGGAGGTGGTGCGCTGACTGTTGGGCAAAATGTAGACACGCGTGTTCTCGCTCTGGCTGTCTCCTTCTCTCAGCTAGCACTTGTACTTCGTATATTCGCACATTCCCTGTCTTTGTGACTGGAGTTGAAATTGAATTGCAAGAAAATGCAGCACTCCTGGTCCTTTTTAGAATTAGTAGGCTTGTCATTCACCTCGGTCATTAAATATTCACCAGATGGATTTGATTCCACAGTGAGGAAAGTAAATGATAGCCAGTAGTGCGGAGAAACATAACCTGGTATAACCTCTTTTTTATTGTTTTATGAGTAGTTTCTGTGTGCCAATTTGGCATGTGTTTAATTTTTTACCATCACATTCCACCTCAGTTATTTGATTGAGGAAGGTATAATTTATAATGTTGTCGTCGTTACAAATGCACCGTGAACTTTCTGTCTTTCTAACCGCGTAATAACAGCTCAATGTAGCCACCTGTCATCTGTGCAGTAATGAGGCAAGTGAAGCCGCAGTTTCTGACTGAGAAGCTGTCCAGCATTTTAATGACGGGCCCTGTCATAGTGGGAGACCTGGGAATAAATGAAAGGGGGAAATAAAAACAATGGAAACACACGGCATCGGAATGTGAAATTCATTGTCGCCGCAGTTGCCATGGTCACCTGCGGAGAGGATGGGAAGCAGGAGAGTTAATAACTCATCTCAGGGAGGGAGGGAAGCTGAGGAGATGTGTAGGATATGAGCTTGTTCAATTAATCAGCCTCTCCCACTTTAACCCTCTCTCTCTCTTACTCTCTCTCCTTCTCTTCCTCCCTCTCTCCTCTGCACTATTGCCCTTTCTCTCTGTCTCATTCGTTCTTTCTGGCTAATTAACAGTCAAGTGTGTCTCCAGTGGGTGAAACATGAAGTAAGTGTGTGTGTGTGTGTGTGCGTGTGTGTTCTCCCCGCGGGCTACACTGCCACTCGTCCCCTCATTCAATCATTTCTCCAGTGGATTTTCATTTGGTCAGCCAGCACCCAGGGCCAAGTACGAGGCTTCTAGTTCTATAGCACGCCCTAATGCAGACACGCACACATGAACACGCGCACAGAAAACTCCGCCCTGTCTTAGCACTGCAGATTCCTTCCAGTAGATTTGCTCTGCCTTTTTGTTATTTCTATGAATGTGGCTTCAGAAACGGTTTATTGTGAACTATTGGTATTTATTTCTGACTTGGAACTCATCTTTCCACCTCTGTGTTCCCCTTTTTCAGGATTGTGTGCCGACTGAATGATGCTACAGGTTACAGGGTGCAGGAGGCTCAGGTAGAAGTGTGCGTTAGGGACTGCACTCACCCAGACTACAAAGCAGTGTCCACCAAGGCCTTCACCTTTGTGGTAAGTGTGCGTGTTGTAGGAGCGTTGCTACAAAGTTACAGCTAAGATAAGTCTTTTTTTGAGGGATGATTTTGATACTGTATTTGAACATCTCTGTTGAAGTTCTGCAGCCATTATTTATCCACCTGTCCTCTGCCTGTGTCCCTCCGTAGTCTCCGTACTTTACCCGTGTCCTTCCGTCCACTGGGCCGCTGTCCGGAGGAACAAGGATCACCATTGAAGGCAGTCATCTCAATGCAGGCAGTGCTGTAGCGGTGAAAATAGGACTTCACCCGTGTCGCTTCGAGAGGTGAGTGAATCCACTTTTAACATCATTTGAATTGTGAGCTCATATTTGATGACAACCCCAGTGTTATGTTTGATTTACAACTCGTATCAAATTGTTGGAATTAGCTTTTTTTAGCATGCACATGTTTTTGTCAGAAGATCTCAGAAGTTTTCTTTTTGGCTTATGCTCCTCAGAAGATCATTACAAGTTCTAATAATTCCCCCACCTATCTTTTACTTCTGCCATCTTTCCCTTTTTCCTGTGTTTTGATAATTATAGTTATTCCCTGTTTTAAAAGAAAATCACCTGTTTTTTTTTTTTTTCCCTGGTTGCTGCCTTTTGATTTGCAGAAGGTCTGAAAAAATGCTACCGGCAAGAAGATGACCTGCAGTACTGTAATTCACAGCAATTGTGAGAATGACAGTGTAGCCTTTCTCCGGGAAGCTGATATCATTATTCAGTTGTGCCGTGAATGACTTAAGTGCATGGCCCACATTTTGTCAGATATATGACTATAATTTGGAAGGAACGATATAGTGTTGCATGTAATTGGAAACTCCGATTTTTCCAGCTTTAAACTCGTGTTTGAAATACTTAAAAAAAAAAAAAAAAAATGTAATACTTTTTGTTTTTTAGAATAATCTGCCACTGTTATCTTACATTGTCACTCACTCTGCAAGAGATTGTGCCAAGATTTCAAGAAGAGAAGACACATTTTATATGACTCTAATTCCTTGAGCTGAGGACTCAATTGTTTCCTTGAGTTCCTGGCAAAGTGACAGAGAACTGAGCTCTGGACTAAATCCACTCATGTATGGTGTCTGGCAGATGGCAGAGAGAGGAAACCTAACTGAAAAAGATTGTCGATGAACTAAAACACTGAAAGGACTTTCCAGGAAAAATCTTCACTAATGAAGGTGAATATTGGAACAACAGGGAGAACATGTTTACGCTCCTCATACATTGTTCCAGTGTAGCTGAGGCACTAGTCCAGGGTTTTTCTTGTTTCTTTCTTTCTTGTTTCTCTTTCAGAACACATTTCTCTGTAACACTGGTGTTTTTATTATAGTGGTTCCCTTCTCTCAGGCAACAAGTGACAGGTTAAACTAATGAGCTTGGACCGATCAAGTTCTTTTTATATCATATCAAAAGAAAAAGTAAAGGCCAATTTAAAGCTCTGAAGCACATCCCGAGAAAGGTGAACATAATAGTCTTGGCCTTTCAATCGCTGAGCAGCAATAACCTTTATGGCCAAAGTAATGAACTGGTTGAGTCCATCTCTTTTAATGTGTCTTTGTATTCAGTGGGGCCTCCGCTTTAATCAAAACCTATTTACCCCAAGTCACTCATCCTCTTATCTCCACCTGCAACCCCATTTCTTTCCTTCTCTTTTCTTTCTTTCTGTATATACCCCTCTTGGCTTTCCTTTGTGCGGCCGCAACCTTGTCAAAAATACGTACGCGGCGCCACAGACGCTCTCGGCAGCGACGCTGTTGTGAGACTGGTTGCCGTGGAAACGCAGCACTATAGCGGAATGTGTGTGTGATGGTTTTTTTTTTCATATCTTCCTTCATTTTTTTCTCCTTCTATCTTCAGTCCCGTTTCAGTCTGAGGACGCTGTCAAAATCGCCTCCCGGGAGACGGCGGGGATGTGTCCGACAAAGACGCCCGATTCCCCCGATTCTTTGCTTTCTTTCACCGTTTTTCACTCGTTTATCCAAACCCGAGCCCACCCCGTCGCAAGCCGCGGGGATTAGAATGGGTTTCCACTCTTTCATCTTCTCCACCATCTCCTGTCTTTCTGTGGATTTCACTTTCACAGCAGATAACGGGGGAGGATTTGTGTACGGATCAGCTTGTTCTACTCGTGTTCAAAATTTCACACTGCGCCGCCTGCCATCATGCCTGCGCAATGCACACACCCCATTTGCTCACACTTGCGGTGCTCTGTAAGATGTTAGCAGACGACGACACAAAACACATACTCGCACAATGTTTAATCTTCTACCTGCACACTGTATTTATATGCAAATCCATACTTCCAAACAGTCAAAGCACACCTGCTCAACACACTGCTGTCTCACAGGGAGCTGTCCCTCCCACCGCTCGGTCAGCAGTGTGTCCCCCTGTCAGGGGTAGGGGACGGTGGAATGAGCCACTGCAGTGGAGCACAAAGTTTCTGGCAGCGGTACAAAGTTTCCCAGCAGGTCACAGCTGGCTGCCTGTCTGCTACGAAGGGAGTTACATCACACAGAGAGACGACCAGCCTGATCTGCCACTTCAGATCTATCAGCCAGAGAAAGCGCAGGAGGGAAGGACAGAGAGAGAGAGAAAGGGAGAGAGAGCTTTGAAATACATCATTCTGTGATTCAGGCTGATGAAACCACGGCTGGACAGACTGAAAGATGTCAGCCATGTGGATAGGCGACTGTGTCACCACTGTGTGTGTGTGTGTGTGGGTGGGTGTGTGTGTGTGTGTGTGTGTGTTTTCTTTTTTGTCACATCTGATAAATAATGTATGAGTTATTTAAGGGTTATAATAAGGATTCACTTCAGTTTTTATTCTGTGTGTCTGTCGGAGAGTCAGCTCCCAAATACTCAACAGTCCACTTTAAGAGAGGCCATCCGCAACTTTTTTATATAACATCTCTTTTTCTCTTTCTCTCCTGTCCTCCCAACTTCATCTCCTGCCGTTCTAGGCGGAGCAACAAGGAGATAGTGTGCGTGACTCCGGCGGGGCAAACCGCGGGTACCACCCCGGTCATGGTGGACATCAACTCTGCTGAGCTGAGGAACCCAGAGGTCAAGTTCAATTACTCTGACGATCCCACCATCCTCAAGATCGAGCCCGACTGGAGTATCGCCAGGTGAGGATACAATAAGGGCTTTTCCCTCAGCTAGTCCGGTTGCAGCAAAAATTAACCTTTTTGTATGAACGTCAAGGATTGTCTGTGATGCATAGAAGCTTACAGCGATCTCAAAACCCAAGCATGATTGGTTAATTCTCGCTTTTTCCTGCATTGCGCATGTCAACCCTGACAGGAATTGAAGGTGAATAGTTCAGAGGATGGGTTTGCAAACTGGGCAATATCGGCATAAATTGGTGTATTTTTCAAGCTCTGCTGCGCCATGTAGCCAATTCTGTCGGATTTCATGCAAAATGTCATGATTATTATTATTATTATCTATAGTTCACATCAACACAGTTTTTGATTTGCGATTCTGCTTGATGTACTTCTATAGAACAGATACAAATGCATCAATACATTATTAATACCTGGCGGTGGAAGTGCTAACCATTAATGCCTTTTTCCAAGGAGCATAGTCAACTAAACTGAATTATGAACTCTCTGTACAATTTGATAAATGTAATATTCTGCAAGCATAGGCTGGGTCTGAAAGACAAAAACTAAACATTCGTCTCCATTTTCACACTGTTTTTCATTTCAAAAGTAAATCTTTGAGAGCAGGAGCAGCAGTAAAGGAGGCTCCTGAAGCAGTGCACTGCTACAGTTGATGAGTTGCAGCAGAGATGTATCTGTAAATATTACTTGACTTATTGAAATGAGACTACATACCCACGGGAAGACTTCTTGTGCAAACACAAGCTGTGTTGTGGAGGAAAAAATAAAAAATAAAAAAGCTGGGAGCTACCAAGTGCTAATGGGCTGACTTGCATGACCTAGAAACTCTTCTACTCCTCAGCTCAGAAATGAAGCCAGCACACACACACACACTGTTGACTGTCTCATTTACTTCAAAAGTATAATTCCAGGAACATGTTGTGAGTTTTTTTATATATATTTCTTGTTTTGTAATTAGAGCAACTCTATACAGTATATTCCAGGTTTTTATTTAGGAGTATCACCTCTTAGGAGAGCCCACATTAGATTTTTCCACCGGACACATTGTCCATTCAAACAGTCTAACAATCCACTTCTGCATCATCGCAGGTGGTTGAGGTGAAAATGGGAGCCGCGTTTAAAACTCTGCAGGGAGGAAAAAGTCTCTTGTCATGCAAAAGAGGTGTGAAGTCTCATTTGGAATGGCATGAATAAAGTAGTCGAGGGTTGGCAAGGGGAAAGGAGAATGAAAGTGTTGGTTCCAACCTTAGGGGGGGGAAATAACCTCGGCACTCGGCTTGTGTTTGGTGTTTCACTCAGCGCTCCCAGAGGAGGAGGTGCATTGTTCTCCAGGCCAATCACGCTTTTATTTACCGAGCTATTTTGTCACCGCGTCCCCTTTCGTGACCCTTTTGACGGGACGATTTCAAACAGCGCTGAGCCCCCCTCTTCCAAAACACAAATCTGACATGACTCAGACTTGTTTCCCTCCCTTCAGGAAGAGGCTTTTGAGGTGACGACGGACACGCATGGCACTGTGAACATTGCGTGACACACCACTTTGTTTACACAGTGTATAGTACAGTTCACTCAGTACACCATTAAAGTGTACACTGTGTGTGTGTGTGTGTGGAAAGGATTCTTATCTTCTCACAGAACTACTCTGTTGAGTGTTGCTACATATTGATACAAAGCAGATTTTTACTGATCTTGAGCTTCTTGTTCACAGTTTCCTCTACATGTTCACAGCTCTATCTTATTCCGCCAACAAAGGTGTAACTGTATGTAAATCTCCTTTTGTCTGCTCACTTTTCACACCAGACTCTATTCACCACTTCGACATCTGCCAGGCCTGGGACTGGCTTTAGATACCGGCTCCATCTGGCCTTAGAAAAACACAGCCAACCCCCTGGATGTGGATGCTTTGTCTTGTGGGAACTGTGTCCGTGTATCTTTACATTTAAGGATGCTCTCGTTCCATCATGGAATGGATGTTATGTTGGCTGAGTAGATCACAAGTCCTCAGCTGCCACTGCTCAGAGAGAAAAAACGCCAGAGCCTCTGAAATGGTTGCTATTCACGTAGACGAGCTTTCTTCCAAGGCTTTACAGCACTTGAATAATGACACAGAATAAGCTTTTTTTTTTGGTGTATCATTGCCTGTATGAAACCTAGCAATATACCAGCCAGCGTATCATTTGCTGTGTGTGTTCTTTGGTGCCAGTGGTGACTCACAGCCGCACTAGGCTTCAAGCTTCGCCTTACCCTGCTCCAGTTTTTAGGTTGTATGTTAACTTATTTAGCTGCTGTCAGAACACCTCACATCAGATAAAGTTCAGCCTCTCAGGCCAGCAGAGGCTGTCGAGGAGGCATTGTGGGGGGAATAGGACTCTCACCCATATTACCCATGTCTCGGCTGGTCAGCGTCACATAGACCCGAATAGGTCACAGGTGTAAAGGTTACGGAACATGTCAGATCACTGACAGCGGTGCATTCGCCGAGTGAATCTCATGCTTAAAAATACTGCAGTGCAACTTTAATACGCTGTGGAAATATCTCCCCTGGCTTTCAAGAGGTGCGGAGGAGAGGCCAAAAGCTTCGGCTCTCAGGAGTAATGCTACACATTCGCTCATTCTTCCCTCCAGCCTCCATATCGGTTTAAAGCCGCTTTTAACATTCATGCAAGGGCTTTAGCGTTGCTATCATTACCTGAAAATGGGCTCCCGTGAATAAGCAGGCGGAAGGTTGTAGCAGGAGCGAGCATTAATGGTATATCGCTTACTGGAGGGGCCTCTTCGACTGATAGGCTGGCTATGGACTCGGACCCTGCAAGACCGAAAAAGTTCAGCAGGAGGTGCATGGATGTGTGACGCACACAAGTGCACATGGAATTGTTTTAATTTTCCCAAGTACTATTGTATAATTGTGTTTGTCCTGATGTCTTTACAACAAGTGTTGCCATTTCTTTTTTAGTGGAGGAACTATGTTGACCATAACTGGAACCAATCTGGCCACCATCAAGGAGCCCAAAATGAGAGCCAAGTATGGAGCTGCCAAGTCAGAAAATGTAAGTGGTCGGATCCAGGCACCCACACACAGTTTTTATTGACAAAACAAAAAAAAGCAGTGACTTGACTTGGCAAGTGAGATGGAGTGAGACCAATATAGACACACAGGTGTCTCTCTCTCTCCCTCACCCACCGCCTCCGCTGTCTCCCTCTCTGTGGAAAACTCATTTTCAGGCAATGCACACACTCCTGGGACACAGACACGGACGCACACACCTGACCCGTCGGTCAACCAGCCAAGGGCCCATTTTCTGTTTGTTTTTGATGTTGAATTTCCTTTTAGCAGTTTAACCTTTGAAATGTCAACCAGCAATAAAGCGGCTCTGGCAAATCCCCCTCTCTTCACCTAGCACCACGGGGCTTAGCTAACCTTTCTCCCGCTCTTGGCTGAAAGTAAAAATATCCCTTCTGTTTCCTTTGTCAACCTCTCTGCAGTCATTTTTATTCAGCTTGGTTAATGTTTCTGTTGACCTATAAACACAGTTGTGTTCCGTGCCTTTGTGATTTTACACACCTTTTTGTGTGTGTGAGTGTTAATAATGTGACATATAGAACACAATGTAAGGCTATAACACGCTGTGAAACTATTCAAAGATCTCTTTAGCCGTGCTGTGTCATTGTAAACTGCTACTGGCTGACCTCTCCGTTTTTTTCTGTGAGTCATTACAGTCTAATTTGTTCTTCGGTGACTGATTTAAGTGTCAAACCCCACAGGGGATTTCCAGATAATATCAACACTGATTACAACACTGATGTTATTAAGCCAGCCTCTTCCTCATTATGTCATTACGGAGACATTTAATCACTCGTATCGCAAGACCCTGTTTCAGCCGTTATATGCGTTTTTGATTATGTATTGGTTAACACAATCTTTTGAGTTATTATTTAAAAAAGTACTTTGTTTACATTTCTTTCCAATACTGCAAACAGTGTAAACAAGGTTGAAACGTTGTCTGATAAAAAAGGGAAATCACCTTGTCAAACTTATTTCAGCTCTTAAGCATATTCTCTCCCCCGTTCTCGTTCCCTCCTGCCTTTTTTCACTTTTCCTTTTTTCCTGTATGTTCTCTCTCCTTCTCCAGAACTGCACGGTTGTGAACAACACCGTGATGGTGTGTCTGGCGCCCTCTGTGGCCGGATCTGACAAAAGCTTCTCAGAGTCGGGCAGCCGTCCTGATGAGATCGGCTTTGTCATGGACGACGTGCGCTCCGTGCTGGTGGTAAACGAGACTTTCAGCTACCACCCGGACCCCGTGTTCGAACCTCTGAGCCCCTCGGGCATGCTGGAGCTGAAGCCCGGCTCACCACTCATACTCAAGGTAAATTGCCTTGTGCTCTTAGCATTGATCTGTTTTGGCCTTGTCTCTATCTAGCTTTGCTTTACATCCATCACAGCCTTTCTCTTTTTATTCTTCTCTTGACTTTTTTATCTCTCTTTTTTTTTTTTCTTCAGTTTCCACTCTCACGTCTTCTTCCTCTGTCTCTACCTTTCTACATCTTTTCTGTTTTGTGTTGCATTCTGTCTCCTTTCTTGCATCACCTTTCACATTTTATTTCTGATGTCTGTCCTCTCTCCTTTCACAGTAGACCAGGCATGGGTGGGGGGGGAAATGACTCATACGTTTGAGGGAATGATGTCAGGTTGGAGTTTGTGGTGGTTTTCGAAGGTTGCTCTATAAAGGTGTGGGATAAATGTCTTAAAACGCACGAGGACTCCAGGACAAAAGAAGGGTAGCTGAGTGTTAAAGCTCAGTTGACACACTCGTAGAGCAGTAAAAGCAGAGAGCAGCGCACCAGTGATGTTGAGTATTTGTAAGCAACATTAAAAAGCTCAATTTAACAAATTATTTTAGAAAATGCTGCAGCGACCTCCCAGTCAGCATCCAACACAACTGATAACAGGCTGACAGGAATTTGAAAGCGTTTGCTGGAAACATTCCTGTACAGAACGTTGGCTACCTTCTTCCTCTTTCTTTGAGTTTTCTTTCAACACAGCCGTCTGTCAGATGTGCCTCAACCTTGAAAGATGTTATTTCTTCACCTGCTTTCTCCTTTGGGGTTTGGAGACCTTTAAGGAAAAAAAAAAACAGAAGTCTCTTCCATAACGCCTCCTTTAATATCAGGTGCAAAGGAAAGTAATGTTTATAAAGTGGACCCATGCATTGCTATGCCACCTGCTCAGATTTTTATCAGATAACTTCTGAAGGGAGACTTTATAGCCATGTTTACTCTGAGCCATAGAAGCAGTACGCATTTGAATCCACAGCGTGTTTAGAAATGCTTTGCACCACCCACCCCCGCTCTGTCTTTATGTCATTTCACCTCTCCCCGTTGAACTTCAAAGACGCAGGAGCGTGAGAGAAAATTATCATGCAATTTCATGGAAAACGAAAGCCTTTTTTCTCTCTCTGCCAATCAGGGTGGAGTTTTAGAAATGAAGACTCGTGCCTTTCTCCCCTGTAACTTTACATATAATTCCATAATGAAAAGCTCTGATTGCCCCACCGTGCTCCGTGTAAAGAATTGCAATAATAAGCAGCACAGGAATGGCATCCTATTAAGTAATTGCGGAGGAATTAGATGTTCATCGAGATCTTAAAGCAATTATTAGCGCGGTAGCGCAGTTGCACACTCTGCAAAGCACAGTGAGTTAGGATGAGGAGGGGTAGGTAGAGGCAGCAGAGGAGAAGAGATGTATTTATTATACTTCCCAACACATTTTTAAAGTCTTTGGCCTGCATTTATGCTTGTGCCAGGCCTTATCCACCAGATCATGATCAAATGATCAAATTTCTTATTGGCTAAATGTATTTCAAGTTACATTTTTCCCTCAAGAGCAATATCAAAGACTTAGAATGTGCACAGGTTTCTCATATTTTGATGCCTGACCGGTCAGTTCTGTGCAGTGGCACAGTTGCTATGGCTACCTGCAGTTTAAAGTACCTTGCACACTTATAACGCTGTGGCTGAACACCTGGCGGACACTTGCCAGTCAATCAGAAACAAGTATGGGGGATTTTTGGCAGCATAAATCACAGTCAGTGAATCAGTTTCCATTCATTCTCTGTAATTATTATTCTATTTGTGTGGACCACCTGAGACTTAGATCTTATGTAAGTAACCGAAGTTTGTGTGTGTGTGTGTCTGTTTCCAGGGCCGTAACCTAATTCCCGCAGCCCCAGGAAACGCTAAGCTGAACTACACGGTGCTGATCGGGGAGACGCCCTGCGTTCTCACCCTGTCTGAGAGCCAGCTGCTGTGTGAATGGCCCAACCTGACCGGAGAACACAAAGTCACTGTGAGTAAAACTTTCATATTTGTTTACATTACTGAATGTCCTCCCATCATGTGAGTGTGTTTCTTTATTAAGTTAACTTGATATGTCACGCATGGGGCAGAGCATGGGGCCATCCAGGGCAAAGTGTTTGGATTCAAACCTGAAAATGAGCATCATCCATCTCCCAGGTTCAATTTTACTTTCTTAAGTACCTGTTATTTCGTCATCCCACTTGATTTCTCTCCTTGCCACCTCTGGAGCATCTGTCTTTCACATTTCTTTCAGCCGCTCGGCCCATCTTCTTCTTCCATAGCTCCTGTTCTCAGTGCTGTTTCCGCTGTGCTATTCATCCCCCCTCTTTATGTCAATCCACTTCCTGCCTTTTTTATTCATTCAACTCATTCTTTCCTCCCCATCCATCAGACCTAAATCTCTTTAATTACTCTAGATTTCTCTTCCCCATTCATATAGCTGCAAGCACACAAACACACACACACATCCTGTCTCTTACACCGTTGGCACTGTTTGTGACTGTATTTACATCTTAGAAGCTTTTGATCGGTCTCTTTTGGCTGGCATCCACCTTGGGATTTGAACAGTATTGATATTCAATAGAGACCAAAAAATGGCTCGTGGGCGTGAGAGGTCTGTGTCTATTTTTACTCTCCATTTGGTATTTCATAGATGTAAGCCAGTTGAAGATGGAATAAAAGAAGAAGAAAAAATAGATGGGGGGGGGGACCATATCCCAACGGTTTTTTCTCATTCATGTGTTCTGCAAACCAGAACTGTTTTGATGTGATATGGCTGAAAGTCAGATGGGTGTGTGACTGTGTGTACTTGTATCACTGGATCCAAAGACGGCCCGGGGGCACAGATGTTGCCTCCCCCAACCCAGATATAAAGGGTTTTGAGGAGTTTTGGCCTGCACTTGGCTCAACACGACACAGCTTGGTTTGTCAGTATAAATGCAATATGGGATTTAGCACTGTGGCACCTTGCAGCATTTTTTTTCATCACTATTGGATTTAAAGTAGTTGTGGCCAGATGTGGGCCTGTAGGATTTGTAAGACTTTCACATCTAATGTATTTTCTATTTCATGTAACTCTGAATGAAAATGATTTACAGCTTCAGCTTGGAACCCTGCCAAATACTGCTGCAAACAGACCCACTTTTTATTTTAATGTAGTTTCAAGATAATATAACTTTCCTGTGTGTGTTCATCTACTAGGTGCGTGTTGGAGGCTTTGAATACTCACCGGGGACCTTGCAGATCTACTCGGACAGCCTGCTCACTCTGCCTGCCATCATTGGTATCGGAGGAGGTGGCGGCTTACTCTTGCTGGTTATCATTGTGGTGCTGATTGCTTATAAGAGGAAGTCGCGGGACGCCGACCGCACCCTCAAACGGCTGCAACTGCAGATGGACAACCTAGAGTCCAGGGTGGCCCTTGAGTGCAAGGAAGGTGAGTTTTGACAAAACGTGGTCATAAGAGAGGCGTGACGCTGACCGCTCAAACTTCACAAGTTGCTTCTGTAGTGCTTGTGTTCTCCTAGTTCCTTTTCATATTTCTCACTTCTTGGTTCTCTTCATCTTTTTACCCAAATAACTCCCATGTCCCCAAATAACTTTCTGTAAATTGCTGCAGTTTGCCTCAAACGCTCCACTACTCCCATTCAATAGTCCTATCCATTTCTCTCCCTGCTTTCTCTTTCACTCTATTTCTCCCAGCCTCTCGCTGCCAACTGTCCCCCTGCTGTTAGGTGGCAGCAGTGTGTGTGTGTGCCTGTGTGTGTGGGTGTTGGTGTGTTTCCAGAGGAGTACTTTGATCTGAGCCAGCCACCAGATGTTGGCTCTCCACCCCATGAGAGAGCTGCCTGGCTGGCCTCACTACCATCCACACTGAGAGAGGGAGAGGGAGATGGAGGTTAGATAGATACAGGGCACAGAGGTGGGAAAGTGAGGTATGGTAAGGGGGGAGGGGTTTGGCAACGACTGAAGCAGGGGCAGAGAGACTTACACACCAGTACATTAGCATATATCTATTTGGCAGTAAACAGCATGGATCCATTGAGAGCCTACTGATGCCGTTACTGGTTTGTCTGGCAAGAGAGAGAGAAGCAGATGGGGAGAAAGAGAGAAGGAGAATACTGATAACTATGATCATCAGACTACATTTGTATAAGAGTTCACTTCACTTGTTGCACTGCTTTAGTAAACCTCAAATATAACAATGTCAATTGATTGTAGTTACTTGTAGGGGTGATCAAGGTGTTTACTGCGAAGCACTAACATGTAGAAAAATAGAAATATTACCTCAGACCCAATATCGACAGATATCAGTATTCTTAAAACAATAAATATCGGGGAAAGATACAAAAAGAATGGCCAAGTTATTGCAATAGTGACCAACATATCTTGACTCCCCTAGTATGGGTCAAGCATCACAAAGGCCAGAAACTGAAGAGAAGCTGTCGGCCAATCAGAGCTTTGCAGGCATGATTAAAAATAGCGACATCATCTTACTCCATAGCTTGTTAGCTACCTAGCGACATCCATGAAAAAGGCATGACACAGATGTACAGGTTGTTGTTTATCAATTTAAAGAAAATAAACAAGTCTCTACTACGTCACATACTAACGATGGGTTAGGGCAACACGGAATCAATTCCAACAGAAAATTGGCTGACAATGAACACAATTTCAGGCTGAATGAATGAAGAAAAGTGAACGGCAAAGTCCGATTATCAGGCAATGGGAAACGCCCACATCTTTCAAATTCCCCGCCCCAGAATGTTTTTAACTGTGCCAGTCAACTGCTCAGGGGATGACTTTGTGTGTGTGTGTGTGTGTGTGTGTGTGTGTGTGTGTGTGTGTGTGTGTGCGTGTGCGTGCGTGTGTGTGTGCGTGCGTGCGCGTCTGTGTGCACTCAACTCTTTAGGCCCTGCTCTTTTTTTTTTTTTTTTTTTTTACTTCTCGCAATCACACACATGCATATAAACTCACACAGTGGGTCAAACAATGATTGGCTGGGGTGTGTGGCGGTGAGTCCAGGTGCCCTGACCCTGTCTGTCCCCCACTGTCACCACTGTCTGGAAGACAACAACAGGATGGATGGAAGGAGAGGGACGGAGCGAGGGAGATAAATAAGGCAGAGAACTTGTGAGAGGAGAAAGGGAGGAGAGGTGGGCACTTAAGAAGGATGGATCGGAAGATTAGGAGAGAGGGGAAAACAAAAGGCGAAGCAGAAAGTACTGAAGAATAAGAATTTTAAAAAGGAGAGCGAGAGAGAGAAGGAAGTTGATATGAGGATAGCGGGCGATAATGCTGGAATAATACTAATACTAATAGAATACTAATATTTCGGTGCAGAAGGAGATGGGTGCAAAAGTAAGAGGACAACATGGAGTAATAAGAAGGGAAGTGATTAGAATATGTGGGGGAAAAGATTAATGAGGTGGAGTGAACAGCAAACAGAAATTGAACAGATAAGTACAAATATTGAATATATATATATATATATATATATATATACAGTAGATGAAAGAAGTGAAGAGAAGATATGCATCAGGGTAGAGAAAAGAGAGGCTGATGAGAGATGCAGAGAGAGATGGATGGCATGAGTGAGCCAAACTAACAGAAAGATGGAGGGATGTAGCAGAGGAGAGGCAACCATCGGGGGGAGAGAGGTGACCTCTAAGATGTCACTTTGAAGGGAAGAAAGAGGGAGAAAAAGAGAGATAGGAAGAGAGGGATAGGGTGACACAAGCCATCTGTTAGTCTGGGCTTTGGTTCATTATTTGTTTGGGTTGTGTATCCATGTGTTGGTGTATTTTGGGTGACACTATAGGGCACACACACAGTCGAGGTAATGGAAGCGTAAAGCTGTATATTTCCTCCTCAAGGGAGTTTTGTATGTATAAAATGGAATCAAGACAGTACAGCAAAAAATATATGCACTATTGTATGGGAAGTGAGTGAGAGAATGGATTTGATCCCATTTGTTCCCTCTAGATGTGGCTTGTGAAGCCACTGGAGTATACAGAACGGGGTCAGAACACACACTCGTAGGGAATGGAAAATGTGTAAAAACACTGACACATGCACTCACATTAATCATCTGGGCACTATGTGTTCAGCTGTGGGGCAAGACAGGAAAAAGTGTGTGTGTGTGTGTGGCTGCTGTAGTACAAGCGTGTGTGGTGGCAGCGTGTTATGTGTGTGTACTCACAGGCTCATGTTCCTGTTCCTGTGTGCACTTCCATCCTGAACTCCCCTCCAGCCACTGAGACTCATAACACTTTCCTCTCTCTCCTCTTTCCCTCCATCTTTCTCTCTGCTCTCAGCATTGAGCGATCACATAATGCTGCTTGTCACAGCTACTCCTCCACACGCCTCGGCCTTTTCCTCACTCTCACCTGTGTTGCCTTTTTTCTACTTTAAAATATTCTGTTTCAGGAAATCATATTGATTGAGGCATGAATAGTAAAAGTCAAGATCAAGACTGGCTCTAGAGTTTATTTCAACTTTTGCATGTGTTGTAATTTTTATTATCTGCACCACAGCTTTTCCATTCTTCTCTTTTTTGTATCCTTTTAAAGGGACAGTTCGGGTGTTTTGAAGTGGGGTTGTATGAGGTACTTATCCATAGTGAGTGTATTGAACAGGTACCTGCAGGCGAGTCTTTTAGCTCTGCCATTTTATTAGCACTCGCCATGGTGTGACTGACTCACACGCCAATCCGCTTGCTGTGTAAACCTCAACACCTGTTGCTAACAGTGTACGGATAAAGGCACCAATCTTGACCGTTAGCGGTTAAGGATCGGTTAACAAGGCTATTGATCAGAAGAAAAAAACAAATGCCAACATCGCTAAGAGCAAAGCAATGTGCCGCTGTGGACGGGAGCAGCAGCAAAACATATGTAAGCCACCAAAAATTGAATTTAATGTAAATTTAAATACAATTTAAAACACCCAAATTATCCCTTTAACGTTTGAAGTCTGAACTTCCAATTATTTGGGAAGAAAAACATAATAATCATTACTAGAGAACACAATTTAGAAATTGGAGAATTAGTGATAAATCCCAACTTTCACCTCCTAAATAAATGCTTTTTTGCTAATCACCTTGATGGTGTTTCAATCTACGGTCTTTCCAAACATACCTATTTCCCAAGAAATCCCTTTTCTGCACATGAAGAGATGCATTTTGCACGTATAGAAGCAGTGGTTTGTTTGGGATAAATAGGTACCAGAGCAAGTAAAGCAGGCCTCAGTCACTAAGTGTCTTTACTTTGTGTTTTGTGTTGGGACTCTGCTGACAGAAAGCTAAATGTAAAATGGAAGATTGATTATAAGTTGTCATCAAAATCAGGCTGTCAGTGTTGAAGACAAAAAAATCCTGTTTAGTCCGGTAAATATCCGGTAAAGTCTGTATTCAATCTTTATGTCACCTGAAACAAAACTGAAACTTAGAGTAAGACAACGTTCATGACATATTTCTATTTTGCGCAGCCTTTGCGGAGCTGCAGACCGACATCCATGAACTCACTCAGGAGCTGGACGGAGCAGGAATCCCCTTTCTGGACTACCGCACCTACGCCATGAGAGTCCTGTTTCCTGGGATTGAGGACCATCCTGTACTTAAGGAGATGGAGGTACGGGTCAGTAGAGAGCAATTCACTCACATTCCCCCCCCACCTCCCCCCACACACACACACATACACACACACAAACACACGCACACACTGAGTGAATGAAAGTAGTTCCGAATGTCTGTTTGTATATGTCATTAGAAAAAAAAAAAAAAAAAAAAAGGAAATGTTAAGCAATGACTTTGGTGCATAGTGGAAATATAAAAAGAGCCAAATTCATCAATCTGGAGTGTGATTAAAATTTTGGGAGAACAATATGCCTTTAAGTCTAGTGGAGACTTTTGTTTTGATCTGAAAGTCTGCTCTGTCTGTGCCATGGGTTGCTCAGTATAGGGTTGAGAGGAGTAACATTGGACATTAAAGAGCTCAAAAAAATAAATACAATACAAATTAGGTATTTTAGAGACTTGATTTGGTAAGGTAAGAATCTCCATTATATCAGAGGTGAACTATCTGAATGTGTCCACCAAACGTCTTTCATCTTAAGCAGTTCCGTAGTCGAGGGGTCGAGGCAGAAGTGGCTTCAAGGCACAACTATATATAGTACCAAAAAATTAACTTTGATGGGAGAAACTCTCAGGGCAAGCTCGAATGTCACGTAATGCAGTGAAGGCACCGATCTTCTTCGGGGAGTGAGCAAAGTCCGAGCTCCACTAAGACTTGGTAAAAGTGCTAGATTGCCTCTACAGGATCAAACCTGTTTGAGGCTTCTGAAGAAGCAATGTTTACACGTTCAATAAAATCCTCTCCCCTCCACAACTGCTCCTTTTTCAAGAGGGAACACTATCACTCGCATAAAGCCAGGCTGTGTGGACGCTGTAACGCAGCATGCACAACTACCTCCATCATTTCTCTGTATACATTAGACTCTCACACATACATCACAAGGAAACGCACACTAGCGCTCCGCTGACATGCATGTATGGTGGCGGCTGCAGGGAGGGGGGGCTTTGAGACATGCAGTATCTGCTCGTGCTATCAACTGTATTCCAAAGGGATAGTGTAGCGCGACATTGGATTTTCATTTGTATGGCCCAGGCAATCACAGGCCACAGTAGTGCGCTAGCAAGCAGATCAATTTCTTATTACAGCATGAAGCTCACATTCTCACTTCAAGCCTCTGTTTCTCTCCCTCAGAGGGGGAGACCTGGCCCTTACTTTGAGAGAAGATGAGAATCGGTGGAGAGGGGGGGGCTGCGAGGGATGGGGGGAGGTAAAGAGAACTGGTAATTGGGGAGAGCATTGGGACAATAATAGGTAGAAAGTGCAAAGCCTAAAAGCCTTGTTTTATGGATGCAACTGTAAGCTGATGTTCCCTGTTTGTAGATACATGTGTTGTGAGTGTATAGGCATGTGTGCACATGTGGCCCTTTTACCAATACACCCTTCATCTAATATTCCTCCTTCTCACTCATACTCAACTATAACTCACATCTTCCTCTTCATCCTGATCTCAACCTTTTTATACGCCCACTCTTTTCTCTACCTCCCTCCCACTAATATTCTGCCCTTTTTCCTTTCTTGTACCTTTTGTCTAATGCCTCCTTCCTTTCACTTCTCTTTCTATCTTCCCTTCTTCTAACTTTCCATCCCTCTCTTGCACTACATTCCCTCCTCCTTTCCAACTTTATCCCCCTTACCTTTCTGCTTCCTTAATCTACTTTCACTCCCTTCCTCCACTCTTCCATCCCTCTCCTCCTCTCTTCACACTCCTCCCCACCATCACCTCTGTGCCCTCCTCTCCAGGTCCCCGCTAACACGGAGAAGGCCCTGACATTGTTCGGCCAGCTGCTGACCAAAAAGCACTTCCTGCTGACCTTCATCCGCACCTTGGAAGCACAGCGGTCCTTTTCCATGCGAGACCGGGGCAACGTGGCCTCCCTCATCATGACGGCGCTGCAGGGGGAGATGGAGTACGCCACGGGCGTCCTCAAACAGCTCCTGTCTGACCTCATCGACAAAAACCTGGAGAGCAAGAACCACCCGAAGCTTTTACTCAGGAGGTACGAAAACAGGGAGGGAGACAGAGGGGTTGAAACTGGCTCGGACAAAAACATGTCACACAATGCACGGCTAGTTTCCCCACTGGGGGTTCAGGTTTGAGGTTACGTCCCTTTTGTTTATCATACTTCTCATCGGTTTAGGGCGTCCTTGAGAGGAAGGCCCCCCACTGAAAGTGAGCACCTTGAGTATTCAGCCTTCAAAAAACAAAAACAAAAAACTTCATTCTTGTTCCCTATTTTATGTGTCTTCATGTTGCCATGGCAGTTGTAATGCGCATGCAAACCCAAGCAGATAGTTATACTCATTATGGTGCTAAAAGAGGAGGAGAAATTATGCCAAAATGATAGAAAATAGAAGATGATGCTCTGTGAGAATGTCAAGTACTTTGTTTTTTCTTGTACAGCTGACGTTATGGAGCAGGGAGGCAGGGGACTGGGACTGTAGCTTTTAGAGGCCTATGTGACGTTACCTCGTCTCTATCTCTCAACCTTGTCCCTGTCAGAGAGGATTACACCCCTGAGCACACACACACTCCCAGTGGAGCTGCAGTCACACACTTCTCGATCGTCTCTCACCCCCACACTGTTGGAAAGGTAGAGAGGGGAAAGGTACGAGGCATGGAGGGGATGTAAAGGGGGAACAAAAGGAGGATTTACAAGGGAGAGTGTGAGGGATAGAGAGTGAATGGATCAGTAAAAATGGGAAATGAGCAGCAGTGGAAGGAAAGAATATGACGTGAAAGAGAAAAAGGCAACGAGGCAAAGGTGGATGGAGCAGAGGGATGGAGAGACATGGTGATTGACAGAAAGAGAGGGCCAAATGTCTTCAGGGACACTTGGGCTGAAGGCAAATTGATGGAAGGAAAAACATGGGGGGGGGGGAATAGAAAGGATGTAGGAAGATGTAATATGGTGAGAGAGTAGATAGGCAAAGGGAGACAGACAGACAGGAAAAGATACACGTATTTAAGGAAAGACACAATTAGAGAAAGGGCCTGTCTCCAAATAAATTGGAATTAGACATTAAATGATAAAAAAAAAAGTTACATTTTTTTTTCTCTCCTTTTCCTCTGAGAGATATTTAATTAAAAATCTAATCAAATAAATGACTCTCAGCCAGTGTGTCTGTGTGAAGCCTTTTCCAATCCCCTCTTGGGGCGTACGGTTACAACACGCTGTCCCTGCTAACTACACTAGCCTCGGGAGCTGGCGTTAATAAGCTCGGCAATTATTACACATAGTTCACCCTGGTTTGGTCTTTTTCCTGCAAAAGATAGACTTTAGAACATTTTCATTTTTAGACATGTACACAGCAAAGCAAAATACTTAATAATCTGCTCCCATGTGAGTTCTCATCCCCTATGGAAAAATTACACTCTGGGTGCATTTGGTGTGATTGGCACATTATTGGCTCACACTTAGTGTCTTTGGCCAGGAAAGCTACAGCAACCCTTTTTGTAGTGCATGGTTAAAATCTTTCTAACGACGGGTGCAGTGACATGGTTTCCCTGAATGAGATGATGTTACAATTCGCCCACTATCATGTCCTGACATGGCCAAAAGCGTGTTCTGTCCAGGTGTATTCGCCTCCATCGTCCTCCATCCCTCTGTTCCCAGTTGCCTCATCCTTGATCCGCTATATTTTGCTGACAGCCATGAAAAAAGCAAACTGCTCCACATACATCAAACAAAAGTCAAACAGGGAGGCATGCGGAAGCGTAGGAGTTCACGTCTCGTTACTGCTACAGGCCCTCGCTGGTTTCACCTGCACATTGGCCTAGTTTCCTGTGTTTCCCTTTATCTCCTTACTACTACACGCCTGTCATGAAAAAACAGAATTTCTGTGCAAAGTTGATAAGAAAATATATTCTATGCTGTCATTTGTCAACAGAATATGCCTTTCTTCACCTCTTTGCACATGGTGCCTCGCTAATGACACAAAGACTAATGTTTACAAGAAGTGAGGGAATGTGGCCCAGTTAGACAACCCAGTAACCCAGCAGAAGGCTCCCTTGTACACCCCCCATTTATCTAGGAGGGAAAAAAAAGGGCTGGATAATTAAGCAGTCTTCCTGTTTCTTCCTAATGTGAAAAGGAAGGATGGTGGAAAGCGAGGAGGTAAATCTGAGGACGATGACGGAGTGGGAGAAATAATCACTCCCCCCCCCCCCCCCATCACATACCGTTAGTGCCGGTCTCCCTTTCAGCTGTTTAACAAATTAGGCGCAATAAGTCCGTTAATTACAATGCCTTTTAATAGCTCTGTTTTCATTTGCTGGTTGTTCACGTGTCTTCTCAAGAGCGTGCACGTGCAGGGGTTCCCCTCATTACACGGCAGGTTTGTGATTAACGAGAGAAGTTAGTGAATTATACAAATTGCTGTATTTCTAATGAAGACGAGTGGGTGTGCTTGAAGGGGGGGAAAATGTGTGCGTGTGTGTGTGTGTGTGGGGGGGGGTTGGTTCGAAACAATGACAGAAATGAAGGTGTTGGTTTTTGCCAAGATTTGTTTGCATGTGATGATGGGGGGAGTGAAGGAGAGCAAGGGAAAGGGCTCGGTTGTTTGAAGGCGAACCGCACGACGATGATAATGCTGCGTGTTCTCTTTGATGTGCGAGCGTGTCTTAAACACCTTTTCCCCCTATGATGAAAGTGTTGGTTTATGCACAGAGATTGTAGCCGGGGAGGGGGGCTTGAAACGGGGAGGGGCGGGTTAGGATGACTCCAAAAACCTCCCAGGGTCTTGTGCCGAGGTTTATGTGCTGCTTGAAAAAGGTCTTTCTCCCTCTCACTCTTCATTTCCATCCTTTAACTGTCACTCTCTAATTTTTCTTTTTCTGTTATTTCTCTCTCACCCTTCACCACCTCCTTTCTCTTCCCCTGCCCTTCACCGCTTTCCCAGGACGGAGTCAGTCGCTGAAAAGATGCTCACCAACTGGTTCACCTTCCTGCTTTACAAGTTCCTCAAGGTAAAATTGTCTGTCACACACATATGCACATAGACACACACAACTTTTGAAGCAATACTAAAAACTGCTGCAGTTTGAGAATAGAGAAATGCCTCTCTAACATACACATTCACAGCTGCAGCATTAGATAAGGCAGAGGCAGCAGGCTTACCTATCCCTTACCTCTGCCTTTCATGTGGTAAATTCTCCTTTCTCAGAATTGAGGAAACTGTAGTCTGAGGCGCTGTTCAGACACAGCTGGTCATGTTGTTGTGATCTCCGTAGCCCGTTGCAATAACCTGTCCTCTCTTTGTGGCCCTCACTGGAATTCTTTTACAGCCAGGAAAGTGTGTGTGTATGCATGCCTGCGTGTTTGTATCTCCCTTTAGTGCTTTGGGGCTTAGCATAAGAGGAAAGCAGAGATCTTACACAAATGCATTCTCTCATTTCTCTGTCTGCCTGTCTCTCCGTCTGTATGTTTTCTTTCTCTTTTTGAATTGTTCTCCCTCTGATATGGAATCAGAGAGTCTTATTGAGGCTTAAACTGTGCTAAATTCTTGTTTCCAAACACACATTCTCTACATTCAAACATTGCTGCAGCTAATCAGTTAGCAGCGGGGCCTTAAACCCCTCGCCAGAACAGCCATTCTGTAGGACAGTGAACCAGCCAAGCCCCCGGGGGTCCCAGTTAAACATCTGTGTGTGAGTGTGTCCCTTTTGGGTGTGCATGAATGTGTGTGTTTTGGCTCAGGACTTGACAGCCAGAGTTGGGTTCAGAGACAGGGGAGTGGGTTAAAGCTGCTAGGGAAGTTCAGATGAGACAAAAACAACGGAGGGAGGACAGGAAAAGGTGAAAGGATGTAGAAACGGTCAGAAGAGGTTGTGGATGGTTGAGAGGAAGTGTTGGGGATGTGAAAAAATGTTTTTAAATGAAAAACATGGATGAAGAGTGCAAGAGAGGGACATGGAGGGATTGGAAAGAAATGAGTGCTGAAGCTAAAGATTTGCTGTAGCTACTAGCAGCGACCTGGCTTTTATCTAACCTCTGCATTTCAGTGCCTCTCTTTCTCCTGACTTTTTCGGGGTCATATAAGAGAAAGGCCTGGAACAATTTTAAAGATTCAGCCAGGTGTGAATAGAGATGGGTAAAGGTCAGGTAGAAGGGAGGAAAAAGAAGACTCTTTTACCAAGCAAAGAGAACAGGAATAAGAAAAATGCTTTTATCCATTTCCCTATTTCACTTATCTACCTGTGCACTGACTTGTTTGAGAGAGTGGGATGGTCGCACAGTCACTCTCTTCCTGCAACCAGAAGTTCTGAGCTGCTTGAGGTAAAATTGCAGATGGCTGTGTTAAGATGCTCTATGGCAATGTCATCCTTTATAATCTAATTCAATTAATAGAAAGGATGCGTCATAATAGTTGGAACAGGTTGCTGAAGGGAAAAGGGCAGGACAGCAGAACTAAACGCACATCTGGTATGACGCTTTGATAAACATGGAACATCGGGAGACAGAGGGGCGGAGCTGGTTTCTATGCTGTTGGACAGAGAGGATGTCAGCCAGGGTGCGGTGTGCTCTCCATAGGAAGCAGTCGGTGCTAGATTTTCCCACAGAGTTCATCTGACAGCTCACCGAGATGACTGACGTGTTGATGCATGAACATGCCCAGCTGAAGGGCAGAGGGCAGGATACACTTCCTCTGTCTCAAAGCACAAAGCGGCATTTCGAAGCTTTAAAGGACAGTTTGAAAATGTGAATCATTGGTTAAACAGCACTCATGTGAGTACGATTAAAATGTTGAGCAAGGGGAACGGCGTTACCACAGTTTTGCACTCGGTGGCTCACTGCTTACCGAAGTCTTGGACAGAGCGGAGCGGAGGGGTATTCAGTCCGATGCAATCAGCAACCGCACCGCTGTATGCCACCAAATCCTACACACTGTCCCTTTAAAAGAGGAACTGAGGAGTTGTACAAACAGGCAGTGCTTAGTTGGCAGACCAGCTGAACGACTGAGTGAATGTGAAAAGCGAGGGAAAGAGAGACGGGGGCCCAACATCCCAGAGCTCGTTGCCTGGTTGACACGTCTCACACACCAAAGTGCTTCTCCAAGCGTTTTTCACCCCTCAGTCGTTAACCTTCTATTAACTCCTCAATCAATTGCCACTCATTCACACTCACAGTCTCTATGATTCCTCTCCTTCTTACTCACGCACGCACACACACACACACACACAAACAGCGATTTACAAAGGGTGTTTTTCCCCAAAGAAGAGACACTGGGGAGAGGCTGGAGTGTGTGTATGTGAGAGAGAAAAAAATTGTGTGTGTTTCTGTCAGTTTTCAGCTCGCTATTAGCCAACACAGGCCATGGCCTCGTCCTTTACTGCTCTGCCTGTGGTTGGCTTAAAGACGATTAGAAATATAATTGGAGTTGCTCAGCAAAGCTATGCACTTTTTTGCAGTTGTGCACTTCTTCGTAGGTTGTATTCATTGTACGCATTTTAACAATCTGTCTTTCTCTCCAATTACTTCTTTTGGAATTTTTCCTCTAACCCTTCACTCTCGTTTCCTGTTTGCAGGAGTGTGCTGGTGAGCCTCTCTTCATGCTGTACTGCGCCATGAAGCAGCAAATGGAAAAGGGACCAATAGACTCAATCACAGGAGAGGCCCGCTACTCCCTCAGCGAGGACAAACTCATCAGGCAGCAGATTGACTACAAGACTTTGGTCAGTATGCTTGCAAGTGTAGACAAACAGTTGGACAACACATTTGGTGTCATAGGATAAAACAGATGCACACATACCTTTTGATACAGTACATTGACATGGATTTCTTTTTCTTGTCGCCAGTATTCTTGGAAAGCCGTACTTGCTAAATCAGGGACCATTTTGCAGTTGTTGGCAACATTGAGAATCTGCAACTCCACAAAGGGGAAAACTAATAGAACCTCTAATTCTGATGAAACACTCTTTTAATAGTAATAAAGAGCTGCATGTGCACTGTTGCCGCGGTTGAATATTGATTCTGAATTGCTGTATTAACTCACCGCATGGTAATGCTTCCACTCGCTCCCAGTCTGTACTGACTTCTTGGGCTAAATGTGACCTGTGCATTTTCCCCTCTGACCCCCTGCCTCTGTAGACGCTACACTGTGTGAACCCAGAGAATGAAAACGCTGCGGAGGTGACCGTTAAGAGCCTGAACTGTGACACAGTGACGCAGGTGAAGGAGAAGCTGCTCGACGCTGTGTACAAGGGCACACCGTACTCCCAGAGACCAAAGGCCTCCGATATGGACCTGGGTAAGGAGAAGGAAACCTGTCGCACACACACACACACACACACCAAGTATACACTCCGAGCACAGGTGCACTACCACAGGGGGTAAAGAGGGAATCGTTTCAAGGGCTCTCTGAGACAGCCGGGGGACCTCTAAAGAAGAGAAGTGATTTTGTACTAAAATAAATCTCAAGTGAGGCTAAAAGTTAATTTCTACTCTGCATCCTTTGTCACAGCAACTTATCTTTTTGTTGGGAGGAGGGAATTCTTGTTAAGTGTATCGTTGCAATTCATGTCCCATTTCGCTCCGTATTTCCTCATGTTAAACAAACATACACAACCTTACCCGTATCTCCTTTTTGTGTGTGTGTGTGTGTGTGTGTGTGTGTGTGTGTGTGTGTGTGTGT